AAAACGCGACAGCGCCGAAGTCTTTCAACAACCAAGGAAATGGAACATCGAGAGCCGACTGGAGAATCCTGCGGCCGAATGGGGGGCTTCTTGAGCCATCTTGAGGCCTTCTTGATTGGTTTTAGAGGTCATCTTTGGCCGTCTTCGAGCCGTCTTGTCCGACTTGGAGGCCATATTGGCTGACTTGGATGCGTCTTGGGCTGGCTCTGAGGCCACCTTGGTCCTCCCTTTTTCATTCTCTCCCACACCGACACACACGAGCATACCGTGCAGCACGCCGGCATCCAGGATCTTCCTCCCCCCTCCCTCCCCTCATGACTTTTTAATACATGTGTCTCGCATTGCATGTTGCCCAGACACGCCAGACTTCTGAGGCCAAGGCATTGCCCACCTGGTCTTAGCTAGGCCCGGACGATGTCCGCAGCGGTGGTCGTATCGTAACGTTCGACCGACTTTGGGAGCCATCTTGGAGGCCATCTCGAGCGTGTTGGAGGCGGATGAGGCACCTTTATGGTTCGCCCGGAGCTGCACGGGGTACCTGGGGGGGTCGGCCGAAGACCACGGGGAACCTTTTCGAAGGGTCCCACACAGCCCGAGAACTTTTGCAAGTAAAGGGGAGGAAAGAAAACAGGCTAGGGAAGGAAAGGAAGAGAGAGGAAGGCAGAGAGAGGCTCGCGCGACGACGACGGGTGAACGACGACGACCGCCGCCCGTGCGCGCCTGGCTCAAACCAGCGCCGGCCTTCTGGCAGCGGAGCCAGTGAGCTTCGGCCCATCCCACCACCGTGCCCGGGTGGACCAGAGGCCTCTTAGGCGCCTCCTGGAATCTCGTGGGGGACCTTGGGTTCATCTCAGAGGCCTCTCGGGCGCCTGTTGGGGCCGTTTGGGCTCTACTGGCCCTCTGGTGGCTTCTCGGGGGGGACATCTTGAGGCTCTCTCGGGGGGGGAGGGCTACAAGGGGCTCCTCGAGTTCTCCCGCGTGCGCCCCTGTTGGTCCGGGGAATTCTCGGGCCCCTCTGGCGGGCTCGGTGTCTTTCTAGTGGCGATCGTGCGAGCCTCTTGGGCCGTCTTGGACGCTCGTAAGACTAACGCGGCGATCATGGTAACATTGCGCGAGTTAGGGCCTGGGGCGCAGGAACAACGCGTCTTCATGCCATTTCAGGTTGAGGTCTACACGCGACGCGAGGACACTGCACTCAGTGCCCTGCGGCACAAAGGCCAGTTCTTCTATATTCTATAATCCCCTCTCCTTCGCCGCTCTCTCATCTTTCTCATCCTGCCAGCTACGTTCAATTACTTGAAGTCCCTTTCCCATGGCCCGACCCGCCTCTTTGTTGCATGCTTGTTTGGATGGTGCGGGTTTGTAATCGTATTCCCGCGTCTCTTCTATGGTGCCCTTGCCTGCTCCTCTCGCGCGTGCCAGTGAGGCTGCCTGGGTCTGTCTGCCCGTTCGTACCAGTATTGGTCAACATACCCACTTGTGCGCGCAAACACATGTTCGTTCTTGTATGTGCACGCGCGCACGCGCGCACATCAGCACTTACAAGCATTCGCGCGCGCTCTCGCGATAACGGTCAGTTACACATACGCATAGGCAGCCACAGCAAAATCATGTCTTCATGGGCGATCGCATTTTCATCGTTGCATCCACGCGCGTAAACCCGCCCACGCACCCACATGCACCTGCACGCTGCATGTACACAGCGACTCAGCCGCGCCAGCCCGCAGTGCTGGTGACAGCGTATGTTTCGAATCCTCGTATATGCTGGGAGCTGGTAGGACCTTTATGACCTAACACAATCATTGCGCCGCACGTTTGCATACAAGTGTACGCGTGTGCACGCACGCCATCGCACAATGCGCACGTGTTGCCGTTGTCCTCTCGAACCAAACTGCGTCCGTGCTTGCATGGAAAAGCGTGCAACGTGCTATTTCAACGCGTTTCCCCGGCGTTCCCGTGACACTTCTGCTTTTGCACTTCTGACATCGTTCCTCTTGCGTTTTGTGCCGCGTGCCCCGCATCCACGCCGCCAAAAATCCGGAAGAGGAGGGTTGGGTTCAGAGCAGAGAAGCCGGTCCTATTCTGTTGGAGGGCACGATTTCAGAACACGTCGGTGCTGCCCTTCTCATCATTATAATACTCCCCATTCTTCCTAATCTTCCTGACCTTTCGCGTCATCGAGCTTTGTCGGTTCAACTGACAAAGACTTGCGTTTGTGGTCAAACGGCAAATCAAGCCAAAGTTTGTCGTCTACCCTTCTCCTCCACCTCATCCTCTTTCTTCTCCTCTTCCTCTTGCTCGTCCTCCTCCTCCTCTTCCTCCTACTCTGCCTCCCCCGTCTCCTCCTCTTCGCCCTCCGTTCCCTAATCTCCTCCTCCTCCTCCTCCTCCTCCTCCTCCTCCTCCCCACGAGGTGGCTCCCTGAACCACCCACGCTCAGGGTGTTGGTGGGATGGGGACTCCCTCCGCCCCCTCCCTCCTCTCCCTCGCCCCTGCTCTCTCGTCCCTCCCTCCCCCGTACTCCGATAGGGGGTAAAGGGAGAGAGGGGCGCCTCCGAGAGGGGGTGCGCCCCTGCCATCTCGAACTGGACCTCCTGCTCGGGTTCACGCCCTTGCAGGAGGCGCGCGACAGTCTCTGCCCTCCCTCCTCCTCCATCCGCCCTCCTCCTCCCTGCGCGGAGGACGGTTCTGGGAACCGCAACAACATCAAGCACGGGTCCAGGCCGGCTGCCGGAGGTGTGGCAGGCGGGGTGGGCGAGCAAACGTCGGGGGCCTTCCTGCGGGCTCGGTTGGAGGCCAGGGTTGGTGGGCGGGCGGGTGGGTGCCCTTCCTACGGGCTCGCTGGGAGGCCTGCCCGGGGGCACTGGATTGATTACAGTCGGGGCCCTGAAGAAGGAACCCTTTTCGTTGGGGAGGGGCTCCGCGTTCCTTAAGTGTTTCGCAGCATGCCTTGGATTTTCCTTAGGTTTTCCATACGAAATCGATGTTCAACTTGTGGAAAATAGGGGCCTCGTTCCTTCTTTAGGGTTCCTTAGGTCAACGCCCCGACTGTACGTGCATGCGGCCAGGCTGCAAGCCTCGCGCCCACCTCGGGGCTCCATCGACGCCCGAGATTGCGGGCGGTGCAGGACGGGGGTCCTAGTCAGAGCGCCAGAGCTTCCAAGGACCGCGCTGACCCGGCCCAGGGCGCAGAGTCCTGCAGGATCCTGCAGGGTCACGCAGGATCTTGCTGGATCCTGCAGACCCAGAGATCCAACGCATTGAAAAATTCAGGGCGGATTTTTTTCGCTGAAACAAATTATTTTAAATATCATTATATAGATATAATAAACAATATCGGCCACGAGAAACCCTCGCCGGGCCCCGGGCCTGTCAAAAAACGACTCAGGCTGACAAACCGGTCCTAGGGAAAGGGTCGGAAATTCTAGGGGCGCCGTCCTCAGAAAAAATCATGACATCGGATCTCTGGGGAGCCTGACTGACCCGGGTCTGGATTGCCCCGGGTCAGTAGTTCCCCGATGGGTGCGCAAGCGAGCGGGTACAAGGTGCGCCGAGTTGGTGCTGCTCTGTCCTTCTCCTCCGCGTCCGCTGCGAGGTGTCGTGGGGTCCTCTTGCAAGCCTCGGGGGCGGCCGCTGAGCGCGGTGTCCTGATTGCTGGGGCGCTCCAGCGAGGGCGCCGCCCTCGAGAAGTTTGCCAGTTGGCCACGCCCTCCTCGGCGGAGGGGGGCGCAGGGCAGGCGGGAGGCCTCGGGACTATTGAATTTAGGTCGGGCGTGTCCCCCCCACAGGAGGACTTTTCAAACGTAGCCAAAAAACAGTATGGGGACGATGTTTTGACTATTCTAGTTTTTGTTTGCTGTTTTCTTTTTGTTTGTTTTCATTTTTAGATTATTCCCAACCATCCTGTGGTGTTGGATCCTCGTTTTGAAGAGACGTCGCCCCGCGTTCTCCTCTCCTCTCCTCCTCCCCCTTCACCCTCCTCCATCACCATCATCATCATCATGATCATCATCATCATGATCATCATCATCATCATCATCATCATCATCATCATCATCATCATCATCATCATCATCATCATCATCATCATCATCATCATCATCATCATTAGCATCACAGGTTTCAGCATACCCCTCACACGTTTCGTGGCCCCATAGGGAGCCCCACCGAAAGTCCCAGTGCTACTGTCCGCATGCGTCCCCCCCACCCAGTACAGCGTTTCGTGGCCCCATAGGGAGCCCCACCGAAGGTCCCAGTGCTACCGTCCGCATGCGTCCCCCACGCCCACTACAGCGTTCCGTGGCCCCATAGGGAGCCCCATCGAAGGTCCCAGTGCTACCGTCCGCATGCGCCCCCCCCACCCAGTACAGCGTTTCGTGGCCCCATAGGGAGCCCCACCGAAGGTCCCAGTGCTACCGTCCGCATGCGTCCCCCCCACCCAGTACAGCATTTCGTGGCCCCATAGGGAGCCCCACCGAAGGTCCCAGTGCTACCGTCCGCATGCGTCCCCCCCACCCAGTACAGCGTTTCGTGGCCCCATAGGGAGCCCCACCGAAGGTCCCAGTGCTGGAGCCCCGCCGAAGGTCTCAGTGCTACTGTCCGCATGCGACCCCCACACCCAGTACAGCGCTTCGTGGCCCCATAGGGAGCTCCACCGAAGGTCCCAGTGCTACCGTCTGCATGCGTCCCCCCCCCTGTACAGCGCTTCGTGGCCCCATAGAGAGCCCCACCGAAGCTCCCAGTGGGACCGTCTGCATGCGTCCCGGAAGTCTAATTTGGCATTTTCACCCCACCCAGTACGGCGTTTCGTGGCCCCATAGAGAGCCCCTCCGAAGCCCCCAGTGAGACTGTCCGCATGCGTCCCTGAAACACAATTTCGGTATTTTCACACCACCCACTACGGCGTTTCGTGACCCCGTAGAGAGCTCCACCGAAGCCCCTCTATGGGCCGACTTGGGGCCCTCTTGGAATGCTCCAAGGCCGTCTTGGAGGCCATCTTGGGCTTCTGAAAGGCCTCCTTGGCCGGCTTGGGGGCCTCTTGGGGCCGTCTTGGGGCCCTCTTGGGCCGTTCTGGGGCCATCTTGGAGGCCTCTTGGGCGATCTTTCGGCGATCTTTGGGGGCTCTTGGGCCGTCTCGGGCCATTGGAAGGCCGAAAAGAAGCAAATGCCCAAATCCTTCACAAACCTACGGAAAATCAATGTTTTTGGCCTCTTGTGGCCTTCCTGGAGGCCCTCTTGGGGACCTCTTGGGCCGTCTTGGGCCAGCTTCGAGCCAACTTCGGCCATCTTGGTGGGTTCCTTGCACGTCTGACGCCGTCGGGAGCCGTCTTGGGGGCCTTTCAGGGCCGACTTGGGGCCCTCTTGGGGCGCTTCGGGGCCGTCTTGGAGGCCATCTTGGGCGTCTTGGTGGCCATCTCGGGCGTGTTGGAGGCCTCTGGGGCCCTCTTGGGGCCCTCTTGGGGCCGTCTTGGAGGCCACTTAGGCAGTCATAGGGGCTCTCTTGGGGGCCTCTTGGGCGATCTTGGGGGCCTCTTGGGCCGTCTTGAGCCGTCGGAATGCCGAGAAGACGCAAATTCCCTAATCCTTCAAAACCTATTGGAAATCAATGATTTGGGCCTCTTCGGGCCCTCCTGGAGGACCTCTTGGAGGCCTCTTGGGCCGTCTTGGGCCATGTTGAGGCCATCCTGAGGCTATCTGAGGCCGTCTTGGGTACATCTTGGGCCGTCTTGGAGGCATCTTGGGGCCATCTTAGCCGTCTTGGAGGCAATCTTGGGCCGTCTTGGAGACGTCTTGGAGACCATCCTGGGCCATCTTGGCCGTCTTGGACGCCATCTTGGGCCAACTGGAGGAAACAGAGGCACGACAGATGCGTTTTGAGCGCCTTTCCGGGTGGCCAGCGGGACGGGCCGGAGCCCCAGGGGGAGTTCTTTTGGAAAAAGAACCAAAACCAAAAGCCATATAGTCTGGCACGCCGGGCACCCCTTTGATAAATCAAAAGGGGGCGGCGGATCGAAGACGCCTACGGCGAATCACCGCCGCCCCCTGCCTTTGTGGAAGCGCCTATGTGGCCGAACGTTGAGGCCAGACCTGCCAAGCTATCGGACCATGTGTTCCCCGAATCGGTTTGGAAAGCCTTCGGGGAACACGTGGGCATCTTGAAGGTCATCTTGGCCGCCTGAAGGCCATTTTGACCATTTCGGGCCTTCTTGGAGGACGTCTTGGAGGGCTCCTGGGCCGTCTTGGAGGCCATCTTGAGCGTCTTGGAGGCCTCTTGGGCCGTCTTGGGGGCCCTTTGGGGCCGTCTTGGGCGCCTCTTGGGCCCTTCTGGGGCCATCTTGGAGGCCTCTTGGGCGATCTTTCGGCGATCTTTGGGGGCTCTTGGGCCGTCTCGGGCCGTCGGAAGCCCGAAACGAAGCAAATGTCACAATCCTTCAGAAGCCTACGGACAATTATTCTTTTTCGGCTTTTCTGGCCTTCCTGGAGGCCCTCTTGGAGGCCTCTTGGGCCGTCTTGGGCCAGCTGCGAGCCACCTTCGGCCATCTTGGTGGGCTCCTGGCCCGTCTGACGCCGTCGGAAGCCGTTTCGGGGGCCTTTCTGGGCCGACTCGGGGCCCTCTTGGGGTGCTCCAGGGCCGTCTTAGAGGCCATCTTGGGCGTCTTCGAGGCCTCTTGGGCCGTCTTGGCGCCCTCTTGGGGCCGTCTTGGGGCCCTCTTGGGCCATCATGGGGCCATCTTGGAGGCCTCTTGGGCGATCTTGGGGCGACCTTGGGGGCCTCTGGGGCAGTCTTGGGCCGTCGGAAAGCCGAAAAGGCGCAAATGCCAAAATCCTTCTAAAACCTAAGGCAAATCAACGATTTTGGCCTCTGTGGGCCTTCCTGGCGGACCTCTTGGAGGCCTCTTGGGCAGTCTTGGAGGCCTCCTGCGGGCCTTTTGGGCCGTCTTAGACCATATTGAGGCCATCTTGGGCCGTCTTGGATGCATCTTGGGGCCATCTTAGCCGCCTTGGAGGCCATCTTGGCTGTCTTGGAGGCATCTTGCAGGCCACCTTGGGCCATCTTCGTGATTTTTTGAGGATGTCCTGCGCGAAACGGCCCTTTTGGGGCTTTGCAGCCACCTCTGGGCAAGCGTCCTGGGACCCCGGCGGGACGCGCTGGAGCCCCAGGGGGAGTTCTTTTGGAAAAAGAACCAAAACCAAAACCGAGAGAGTTTAGCACGCCAAGCACCCCTGTGATGAACCAACAGGGGGCGGTGGATTCAGCTGCCTATGGCGAGTCCCGCCACCGTGCCTGGGTTGTGGGTTATAAGCCTAGTGGATGTTTGTTGGGATCTCGTGGGAGGCCTTTCGGGGGCCTCTTGGAGGCAGTTTAGAGGCCTCTTGGCGACCGTTTGGGGGCCTCTTGGAGCTTGGGGGCCTCTTGGGAGCCTCTTGGGGCCTCCTGGGCGCCTCTTGGGACCTTCTGGGGGCCTCTTGGGGCGGGCGGCTAGGATTTTCGGTTCGTGCTCCCTCTCTGGGGCTCATTTTGGGACGGTCTTGGGCGCCTCTTGGGCCGTCTTGTGGCGCTCCTAGGCCGTCTTGGGGCCCTCCTTGGGCCGTTTTTTGGGGCCGTCTCGCGCCATCTTGAGGCCATCTTGGGCGTCTTCGGGCGATCGTTCGGCGATTTTTGGGGCCCTCTTGGACCGTCTTGGGGGCTTCCTGGGCCGTCATGGGAGCCTTGGAGGGCCCCTGGGAGACGCCATGGCCGCCCCGGGACCCCCTGGGAGTGTGGCCAGGGCGCGCGACGAGGTGCGACTTCGGAGGAGGGGCGTCCATTGGAAGATTGCGGAAGCCCTGCCAGACAGCACCTGGCATTCTAGCACGCCTCCACGTGCCAGGGGGCACGGCTGTGGATCTGGATCTGGAGCGCGCGAGGCGCGTCCGATGGCTCTGGAACGAGGAGAAGGCGAGTCCTTGAAGCAGCAACTCTTCAGGCGCCTCCGTCGCGTCACCTCTCCGCTCAGTCAGGGGAGCGTCTGGAGCCGCGCCCCCCCAGCACCCCTCGCCCCCGAGAACGGGAAGCAGCCCCTCGGCAGCCCGCGAAAGTCGTAGACCCAGGGGCGCCTTAGGGCATCCACGATGGCTGGAATCCGTGCACGCGCCATTCGTGTCATGCGACTCCGTGCCTCCGGCACGCCGCGGGCTCGAGCACCCGGCCCACGTCGCCCGCCGCGGGGGCCGGCCCAGCGCTGGGCGCCCGCCGCCATGGCGTTCCAGCAGCTGCTCTCGGGGCTCGCGGAAGAGCACCGCAAGCTCGAGCAGGATCCTCGGGGCCGCCATCTGTACGCCAACACTGGCCACGATGAGAACGATCGCGACGATACCGATAGCGATCACAGCGACCACAGCGATCACAGCGGTCGACGAGCAATGCTTTTCTCCGGCTGTGCCCTGTGAGAGTTCGTGACACGGGATGAAAAATGGCTCGCCCAGTACTTTGCCGGCCCTCTGTGTGCACTCGTTTGCTGCTTGCTCGAGCCTAGAACTACGGAGGGCCCTGTCGTAATGCGTAATGGCGCCGCCGCGCCTGTCGTAAAGGTGTACGCCGCCACCGGCCTTGGTCCAGCCAGACCAGGGCCCGGGAGCGGTGCATACAGCAGGCCAGCCACAACTGGGGGAGCTGTGGTCCTTACCCCCCTGGGGGGCCCATCGATTTCGACACCCCTCTCGAGAGATCGTCGATGCGATGGGTTCCCCCAGGGGGGTAAGGACCACAGCTCCCCCAGTTGTGGCTGGTCGTGTTACAGCTGCTAGGAAGGCGCGCGCACCGATCCTGGGCCGGGGCTCGGCCTGGCCAGGGCCGGGGGCACAGTCGCTGCGCCTCCCCCCTCTCAGGAGAGGAACGAGCTCTCCGAGGAGCTCTCCCGGCTGCGGCGGGAGTCGCGCAGCAGCCCGGGGAGCCGCCCCCTGCCCCTGCAGGCGCTGCCTGGCCAGGTGCCGCCGCCCCCGCAGGGGGCCGAGGAGGCCGGCCTCGTGGCCGTGCGGGCCGTCTCCGGGCGCCAGCTGCGGCGCGAGGCGCCGGAGGCCGAGGCCTCCGCGGCGCACTTCGTCTCGGTGAGCCTCGATGGGGGCCCGTCGGCCACGAGCTCCACGCAGCCGGGCCCCGAGGCGGCGTGGCGGTGCTTCGCGGCGGGGCTGCCGGCGCAGGCGCACCACCTCCTCCTCCTCCTCCTCCTCCTCCTCCTCCTCCTCCTTGTGCTCCTCGTCCTCCTCCTCCTCCTCCTCCTCCTCCTCCTCCTCCTCATCCCTCCCCTCCACCTCCTCCATCTCCTCCTTCCTCTCCTCCTCCTCCTCCTCCTCCTCCTCCTCCTCCTCCTCCTCCTCCTCCTCTGGGCTGCCGGCGCAGGCGCACCACCGCACGCTGATGCTGGAGGTGCTCGCGCACCAGGGCGAGGGCGTGCCTCCCGTGAGCGTGGGGAGCACCTCCGTCGAGTTCCGTTGCCTCTCGCCGGGGAGGTGTCGAAGAAGACAAGTCAGCGAGCGAAGAACGGTAGAAAAGAAACTTTCCGCCGTCGGGGACACCTGCCCCTGGGCGGCTGGAGAGTTTATACCCCTACGGTGCCACCGTAAGGGTATAAACTTTCCAGCCGATCTGGGGCAGGTGTCCCCGACGGCGAAAAAGTTTACTTTGTACCGGTCTTCGCCCGTTAAACAAGAGTCGACTACGAGCAAGAGTGACCTTTCGCCGGAGTGGCCTCTGGTGCGGGCCCAGTGGTGTCGCCCGATCGCTGAAGGCGAAGCGGTAGCAGCGGCCTGCGCTCCAGGGTTCTGCCACCCCGCGTCCCCTTTAAGTCGCGCGCCATCGGTCACTCTTGCCCAGGGTCACTCTTACATGTAGCCCGAAGAGCTGTACTTACAGACGCACACGTTTGGAGCTCCGCGCGGACTTCTTGGATCGGCGCTGGACCCCACTCCCTGGCGCGCGGAGCGCACTGGGGTTGGCGCGGGAGGTCCCGCCAGAGGGGTCCAGCGCCGATCCAAGAAATTTTCGTGGACCTCCGCCGTTCATGTTTATGCAGTGACTTTTCTTTTAGAGGTGGGAAAAGAGGACAGAAGCGCTCCCGTCCAAGGGCGGGCTGGTAGAGTTCGAGGTGAGTTGGCAGCCATCGGAGGGCGGCGGCGGCGGCGGCGCAGAAACCCACAGCATGGGCGGAATACACAAGGCGCCAGACTCCCGCCGCAACAGTACGACAAAAACGCACTTGGGAGTCCAGAGCACCTCGATGGGAAACTACTTGCTCGACGAGGGGGAGATGATGAACAGAGCCAGGCAGAAGGCGCGCTTTCGCGATATATCTGAAGGGCTTCGCTCCCCCTTCCCCCTCCCCCCTGCCGCCGCCATCCCTGTCGTCGGAAACCCGCTTGGTTCGTGGGAGTGAAGGCACGGAGCAGCAGTGCGCAGCGGCAGGCAGATTCGTGCAGCACCAGCCCGCAGCAGCCAACAGCGACCAGCGTGAGGCAGCCGCGCTCGACTGCAGTCAGCATCAGTCAGGAGGGGAACAAACACACAGACACAATTAATCGTCGATTCCCAGGAATAAATGGGAAAATATGGGAAGTGGGGGGAAGACAAAAACCCAGAAAGTATTCGAACATATGGGGAATCTCGTTATTTGTGTGTATTTATGTGTGTGTGTGTGTGTGTGTCCTTGGGCCCCTTGCATCAGCAGCGATCGGCTCGAGCAGCAGCGCTTCCCCATCGTGCCCCCAAGCAGCCTGTGATGCCGCCTTCTCCTGGGCTCCACACGAGGCTCCCAGCGCGGGGTGCACCGCTGCCCGAGGATGCCCTCGGGACGGCCCGACGGGCTTCCTGCTCCTGTTCCTGCTCGTGCTCCTGCTCCTCCTCCTGCTCCTCCCCCTCCTCCTCCTCCTCCTCCTCCTCCTCCTTCCCCTCCTCCTGCTCCTCCTCCTTCCCCTCCTCCTCCCCCTCCTCCTCCTCTTCCTCCTCCTCCTCCTGTTCCTGTTCATCCTTCTCCTCCTTCTCATCGCCCGAGCCGTGCCGCTGTGGTCGAGAGCGAGGGGGTCGCCCGGGCTGCCGCGCCTGGGTCGCGGGGGCGAGGGGCGCGGGCACGATTCGTGTCCATATCCACTGCGTCTTGGACTCTCTGGAAGAGGGGCGCCAACAGGCCGCGGCGCAGTGGACATGAACAACAATCTGACCTCCAGGGGCGAATCGTTTTGTCCACATCCACAGCGCCCCTGGATTTTGGAGGAAGGGAGCCCGAAACTCCAAGACGCAGTGGCTATGGACAACCATTTGACCTCTAGGGGCGAACTTGTTACATTATCCATGCCCACGGCGCCTCTGGTATCGGAGGAAGGGAGCCCGCAGCTCCAAGACGCAGTGGACATGGATTCAAGATCTTGCCCGCAAGGGGCAGACGCGAGACCGCCTACGATCCGATTCGATGCGTTCCGATTCGCCGGCTGGGGCCGCGATTCCAATTCGATGCGATCCTGCTCTATTCACCAGCATCGCGGGGCGCGGCGATTCGATACCGATCCGATTCCGGACGATTCGCTGGCGATGCGATCCGCTCTCGACCCGATCCGACTTCGCGGTCCGATCCAGCGCGGACCTGCAGGCGTGCACACCCGCCCGCGCAGCGCCCCGACTAGGGGAACGACGGATGACATAAACATGCAGAACTCGGAGGTCCGCGCGGATTTTTCGGATCCGCGCGGACCTCCGAGTTGTTATGTTTATGTTATTCTTCGTTCCCCTATTGACGCCTGGGATCCCGTTTGATTCCGCTCGGCGCACCCACTCGTGGCAACGGCTGGATCTGGCACGGGGAGGAGGAGGAGGAGGAGGAGGAGGAGGAGGAGGAGGAGGAGGAGGAGGAGGAGGAGGAGGAGGAGGAGGAGGAGAGGAGGGAGGAGGAGGAGGAGGAGGAGGAGGAGGAGGAGGAGGAGGGAGGAGAGGGAGGAGGGAGGAGGGAGGAGGAGGAGGAGGGAGGAGCGAGGAGGGAGGAGCGAGGAGGGAGGAGTTTCTGCCATGCTTCGTTCCCCTGCCGACGCCCTTCGGGCCTCCGCGCCCCGTCTCCGGGCAGCCCGTGCGCGCCCCTCCGCGCTCCTGGCCAGCCGCCGCGCGGATAGGCCTCCCGGGCGCCGGGTTCTTCTCTCCTCAAGTCGGGCCTCATCATCATCATCATCATCATCATCATCATCATCATCATCATCATCATCATCATCATCATCATCATCATCATCATCATCATCATCATCAGCATCAGCATCAGCATCATCATCATCATCGTCGTCGTCGTCGTCATCATCATCATCACCATCACCATCATCATAAACATCATCATCATCATCATCATCATCATCATCATCACCGTCATCATCAGCATCAGCAGCATCATCATCACCATCATCATCATTGTCATCGTCATCGTCATCGTCATCGTCATCGTCATCGTCATCGTCATCGCCATCATCATCATCACCAACATCATCATTATCATCGTCGTCATCGTCATCATCATCGTCATCGCCATCGTCATCGTCACCGTCATCGTCATCGTCGTCGTCGTCGTCGGCATCGTCATCGTCATCGTCATCGTCATCGTCATCATCATTATCCTCATCGTTTTCATCATCATCACCATCATCATCATCCTCATTCTCAGATTATTCCTCAAGTCGGGCCTGTCCCTCTGCAGGGGGAAGTTTTCAAGCATAGTCTGAAAACACATAGGGCGACGTTTTTTTTTGGACTGTTGGATCATTATTTGTTAGAGTTTTATTATTTGGATTGTGTTTATTCGGACTTCTCTCCTCAAGTCGGGCCTGTCCCTCTGCAGGAGGAAATTTTCAAACATAGTCAGAAAACATAGGATGACGATTTGTTTTTTGTTTTTTGTTTGACTGTTGGATTATTCATTGTTCGAGTTCTCATTTATGTGAATATTTTTTGGGGACTCTTCCAGAGTCGGCCTGCAGGAGGACCTGCCCGACCCGATTCTCTCCCCAGAGCTGGCGGGGGCGCAGCTCCCGCAGCGCGCTGGCGCCGATCTGTCTGCACCAGAGTGGGCGGGGTCCCTGGGCGGGGTCGCGGGCTGGGTCGCGGGCGAGTCGCCCGTGGCCGACGACGACGACGACGACGACAGTATCAATCCTTTTGAAATTGTTAGCTGTTTGTTGCTCGAGTGTTGTTCCACATGTGTGCCCCGAGCCCTCGGTACCCGCCATCTTCGTCTTCGAGAGTGCCTTCTCTGGGTGTATATTTTCCTTGCCTGCCACGTGTAGGTGGCGCGAACCCCGGGGAAGAGGAGGGAGAACGCAAAACAGGAGACAGCGAGGAAGGAAGGGAGGAGGAATCGAAAAGGGAGGGAGGGCAAGAGGAAGCGAGCATAATGGATAACGAAAAATAGACACAGCAAGGGGGGGAGGAGAGGAGCAGAAAGCTTGGCGGGCGGACCCTGACGGGCGGGTCGGGCGGGCGGACCCTGACAGGCGGGCAGGGCACTGCAACGGACGGGCGGGCTTCCAAGCAAGGGCTCAGAGATCCGATGTCGTGGTCTTTTCAAGGCGCGGCCCCCGGAAGTCTTGACCCCTTCCCTGGGGCCGGCTTCCCATCCCGAGCCTTCTTGTGACGGTCCCGCGGCCCGGCGAGGGCCCCTGGGGGCCGAACGAACGACCCCTGGGGGCCGAACGAACGAACGAACAAGCCATACGCCAGTAGGCGCGTGGGCAAAAGCATGCGTCTAGCAAGCTCGACGCGGGATCAAGGAAAATGCCGCGGGCCCCGCGGGCGCCGAAGCTCGCGAGAGTCCCCGTGCCTCAATTTCTCCGAGGCGCCGGATCCCGAAGGGGGGCGGGCGGGCCCCAGCTGGCAGGTCGGGCGGGCGGGTTCTTCGTAGCCCCGCTGTCGCTCTTCGTGGCCCCCTCGCTGCCCTTCGTGGCCCCGTTGCTGCCCTCAGTGGCCCCGCTGTCGCCCTTTGTGGCCCCGTATACGACTGCCCTTCGTGGCCCCCGCTCGCTCCCGTCGTGGCCCCATATGCATGCCCTTCGTGGCCCCGCTGTCGCCCTTTGTGGCCCCCTCGCTGCCCTTCGTGGCCCTGGTGCTGCCCTCAGCGGCCCCGTCGCTGCCCTCTGTGGCCTCGGATCTTATGCCCTTCGTGGCCCACGCTGGCTTTTCTCACGATTTACTTGGGAATCGCGTTATCGCTCGAGACTTCCTCGCTATTCATGCAGGACCCACGTTTCAGCAACCCGCCTGCTCGACCTCGTCGCTTGGGCCCGCACCCTCTATGGGTCTGCCCACCCGATCTGCCCGTTTGGTTCTACCATTTGTTTTCTGCTCCTCGCCCCTCTCCTGCTAACTTGTCTCGTGCTCCATTCTTCTCACTCCCCCTTTCACACGTCCTCTCTTCCCTTGTTGAAGGGGCTGCACTAAATACCCGTGGCAGGTAAGGAAGATATACCCCCAGGGGGTACGATCGAAGACGACGAGGGCGGGTACCGAGGGCTTGGGATATACGTATTGATTGGCACGTGAGCAGGTAGGAGCGAACAGTCCTAAAATGTTTGTTGTTGTTGTTGTTGTTGTTGTTGTTCTTGTTGTTGTTGTTGTAGTTTGGGGCCCGGTAACGCCGTTTGAGCGGGAAGATTCTTGATTAGAAAACAGGGTTCGACCCCCGAGGGGGGCACTTCAATTGAAACACAGAATGTACATCTGTGAGGGATGATCAACAATAGTTGTTCTTCAAGAGTGAACGTTCAACAACAACAGCAGCAACACCACCACCAACAACAACAACAGCAACCACAACACAACATCAACGGGCGTTTCGGGAAGGCGGGCCCAGGCGGCCAGGTCGAGCAGGCGGATTGCCGAAGCGTGAGCATGAGTCGCGAGGAAGTCTCGAGCGATAGCGCGATTCCCAAGTAAATCATCAGAAGGGTCCGAGCGACAGCGTGAGTCCTGAGGGCTGGAGGCGCGACTCTTCCCACGCGAGAGCGCGATTTCTGCATACGTATCAGTCTGGAGCCGTTGCTGTTGTTGTTGTTGCTGTTGTTGTAAAGCGGGGGTCACAGACACAATTCTGACATTCAATGCTTTCCCTGATAGAATAACAGGGTGCGAGCCCCGGGAAGTGCACTTCAAATTGAAAAGCCGCAATGTTCCCCGGAGTGGGGGATCAACAATCAGTATTCTATAGCAATAAGAAATCAACAGCAACAACAGCAGCAACAACAACAAGAACAGCAACACCAACGCCACCACCACCACCAACAACAACAACACTTACAACAACAACAACAACAGCAACAACGAC